TTTGACGTTCAAGCACCAAGAAGTCGTCTAACACTTTCTTTTGCGACACCTGTTATTAGGTTTTTGGCGAATAGGCTCCACTTCGAACGTCAAGGCTATTCGACTTGACACCACGTGCCTAGTGAGAAGATTGAAAAGGGCAGACTGTAAGTAGTGCTATTGGACACTTTTTGTTGAATTTATTAGTAAATTAGTTTTAACTTACGTATAAGTCTCAAGTTAGGCTATTAAATTAATTGATGACTTTGTGCAGAAACAATTTATAAAAAATGGTGCGTGTACTTATGTACGCGCGTAAGAAGTTATACTTCTTTGGCTTTCTTTATTTTTTTAAATATTAAATAATTAATAATAAATATTTAGCGTTAATAATTTAACAATATTTAATATTTAGTATATTATTCAATTAATATTAATAATAAGTATTATTTATTATTTTTTTATTTTATTAATTCAATTTAATAACTAGGTATGTTCCATAACCTTTTAACTAAGTAACAATAGGTCTTTGTGAAAAAGCATTGCTAAATTTCTTTGAAAAAATAATTAAAACTCCTTTATTTGTTTAAAAGGTACTACAAATGTCATTATGGTCATTCAAAATTCTTGGCATAGCTGCTTACGTCACACATATTACTTTTTTTTTTTTGTAGATTGTCTTATTCCCATCTCGCTCGCGCACGCTCGGCGCCCATACTGATAATTTTGTGTCACGGTGCGCGCGCATCGTAAAATTTCACTCTCATAAATTTTTCATAACGCGCCTAAAGAAGTATAACTTCAAAAAATAATTTGACTTTAAGCCCAAAATGCAAACTTTTTGATAGACGGTCTGTTTTTGTTGATGAAACTGTATTTATTAACTAAAACGCAAGCTAAAACTTCCGATGAACATTTGCATTTGTAAAAATTTCTTTTACAAAATTAGGCTAACTAATTTTCTATAGTTTTCTATTTATCATTATTTGACATTTTAAAATATCATTATAGAAAGCAATTTAGGTCATTTTTCAATTCAAATTATTTATTAATTAACACTTCGTTGCAGTTAATTAGAAATTATAGTATAATTGAATAAAAAGAAAGACCTTAGTGCTTCAACGAGATAAGGTAAGAGCAAGAAGTGCAAAACTTCATATTATGACGTATTATAGTTATTTTAACAGAATGGAGCAAAACATATGTAAACAGTGAAAGGGAGCAGTGTTGGTCTAGTGGCTTCAGCGTGCGACTCTCATCCCTGAGGTCGTAGGTTCGATTCCCGGCTGTGCACCAATCGACTTTCTTTCTATGTGCGCATTTAACATTCGCTCGTACGGTGAAGGAAATCATCGTGAGGAAACCCACATGTCTTAGACCCAAAAAGTCGACGGCGTGTGTCAGGCACAGGAGGCTGATCACCTACTTGCCTATTAGATTGAAAATGATCATGAAACAGATTCAGAAGTCGGAGGTGCAGACCTAAAGAGGTTGTCGCGCCACTGATTTATTGATGTGAAACATCTATAGCCGCACGTAAAACCGATTTCTGGCGTGGCGACGCATGCCGTGGCGACGCGTCGCGTGTACGGTGTGAGTATTTCGAAGTCACTGAAGAAACGAATTAAGTAGTCACGATTTGAAGTAAATTCGTAAATTTTTGTATTTAATTAAAATAAATGTTTATTCAATAAATAGTCATTGTTATTTGGAAAAAAAATCGTAATATTTTATTTTATCATTATAACATATTTAATTCCTATCACAATCTGTTCTTTTCTGCATATTACTTTTACAAAATAATGTCGATGTTTCACATCTGCCAGGCGTCCCGTGATGGCTCACATTTTTTTTTCAGATCAGTCAAAGGGATACGATGTGGACAGGTAATTAAAATAAATATTAGTCTTAAGTTTGGCTAAATCGTGATGTTAAATGATGTCTTTGTGCAGAGACAAAAAAGATATTAACACAAATTGTAAGTATATGAATTCATCCCACATTTTTCTAACGGTCTGTTTTTGTTGATACAATTATATTTATTAACTAAAACGCAAGCTAATTTTATTTCCAATGAACATTTTGCATTTGTAAGCATTTCTTTTACGAAAATGAGGTTAACTAATTTTCTATGGTTTTCTATTTATCATTAGGGGCCATCCATAAAGTACGTCACACGTTAATAGGGAGGGAGGGTATCACCGAAGTGTGACATCGTGTGACAAGGGGCATGGGGGGGTCAATACTTTTGTGACGTCACATGTTAAAATTTTAAATACTAAAACGCAAAGTTTGGATGTGAATTAAAAATTTACGAACTTGATCTATATTTACTAATAATTTAGCATTCTCGCTATGCGATAATCTCTCATGCAACGTCATTTAACTTCTAGAGTGGCGTTGTAATGCAAGTGAGACACTCAAATTCACGAGAATTTTGAATGGTAAGGATTTAAATAGGTTTAAGTCGTCGGCGAGTGCTCGTGAAATGTTGGACTTTATTAGATTATTATTTAATAAAAATAAGTAAAAAATGAAAATAGCTGTTTTCTCTCGATTATTTTTAAATACATACATAAATTTAAAAAATGTGTGACGTCACATCAGGAGGGGGGTTATAAAAATGTGACAACCTGTGACAAGGACGGGGGGGTTCAAAAGTCCTAAAATTCGTGTGACGTACTTTATGGATGGCCCCTTATTTGACATTTTAAATTACCAATTATAGAAAGTAATTAGGTCATTTTCACAATTAAAAATCTCGTTTTACGAAATGATCTAAATAGCTTTATTTTTACGAATAAAAGTGAAGAAATACTTTCTTCATTTAATATTCGTCTCATTAGCTATAATTTAGTAGTAGGCATTCCTTGGAATTTCAGCCATATTTTAGCTGCAAAGCATTCGTTCAGATTACGCGGTGATCGAGACATAAACTTTGAGCGATTCCTAAATGATTATCTGAAGGCCGAATTGGTTAATCTTTAGCAGCTCATGAGGAAAGTGGTTCTTTTTACACGCTTTATATTAGCTTCACCTGTATGTATGTATGTATGTACGTAACCGACTCCTTCGGACTCGATTTTGACCCACTTTTAACGGACAGATTTAATTCAAACTTTGCGCACCTGTCAAAGATCGATGACAATGCAATAATCCGAAAAAAAAATAAAAAAAATAAACTAAAAAATAAAAAATAAATAATAGTTAAAAAAACTAAAAAACACGCTTTTAAAGCACATCAAACTAAAAAGTGAAAAATAATTCCTAATTTAGGCTGAAAATGGTAATGAACAAAAAATACTGGTATTATTGTGAAAAAGCGTGGGGCGCTCTGTGCCATATTTTTCGTCTATCGAGAGTTTCGTCTTCGGAGTGCATTAAGGGCAGAAGAGATTTTATTGAGTGCCTTGGTGGTCTTTCTAAGTGGAGGTCCTATTTCCCACGGGGAAACTTCCACCGGTAGCTTTTTAATTGAGAGCCTGTTTCAGTGAGGCCTCTGTTAAGAAGTTTAAATAACAAGTACTTCGGAGAAGCATTGATAATAATAATTTATTGCAAGAATATGGTACAAAAATGTGTAAGGTGGTATAATCGTAAGTTCGCATTTCTGCCACACAGAATGGCGCGCAAATTTGTCTTTAAAGGAATTTTACATTATACATTATTAGTTATATGAATTGGTCAATTCTTATATTATTTGTATCTTACATAATATCATATGATACGTTATTAAATTTATATTAAACTAGCTGACCTGGCAAACGTCGTTTTGCCATGTATATCATTTATAATAAAAAATAGTGGTTGATCGTAGAGGGGTAAAAAATTGAGGGGGGTTGTATGTATTTTTTAATGTGTATCATAAAAAAATAACAAATATTTTTTTTATCTAAAAATTAAAAAAATAATAATGTAGTGGTTAACATTTAACATTTAGGGGAACGAAAAATAGATGTTGTCCGATTCTCAGACATACCCAATATGCACACAAAATTTCATGAGAATCGGTCAAGCCGTTTCGGAGGAGTTTAACCACAAACACCGCGACACGAGAATTTTATATACATCTTAGGTTTAAAGCCGGCAACGCACCCACTATTAATGGGTGGCCACTGTCCAGTGTCTGATGTGGATGAATAAACGCTAATATTATTTGTCTAATGCCACGAAAATTCTGTAGATTTCAATTGCGTTCTCTTCTGAATTGCACCAAGCATATATTCCTTCTGCCTGTGTTTGAGAAGATAATTTTCTTCTTAATTAACCCTTCGTTGAATACGATATTAAATTGGGCCATTCGAAGGCGTGTTAAATGAGATGCCGCTGTCTCAAAACTAATTAACTTCGTATCAATCGTTCGAATTAAACAAATATTCGGTTTGAATGATATTCTTCTGTATGCCACTGCAATTTGCAATCTGCAAGACTTCATTACTTACACTGGTAACTTTTACTAATATTATTATTTTTAAGCTATTGCATAGATTTTATCGCGGGCTTTGAGCGCGGCGACCGACTCAAGAAATTCCGTAACGAAATAAACAACGCATACTGCGTCTCACATCGGTTAGAGTGGTAGATTGAATTAATATCAAAGAAAAAAAATACTGCAAAAGATAAATAAATAATTATATTACATTAGTCTATAAAAAATGCCATGCAATAACTTTACTACGGCAGTCCCCGAGTGCCACACGTATTTTTTTCTACTAAGTACTAATACTTATTATTACATTATTTTTCTTTTTTTGCGACTGAGGCTCAAACTAGCTGCTGTGGTCTCTCAAGGGACAATTACAACCGCAGCACACACGCATTACACAATTAAAACGTACCTTATTCTTTAAAAAAAAATATCTCTCATTCTTTTTTATTCTTTATTTTTATCTTTGATTATTGTTGTTTTGTGTGTTTCTGTGTGTTACCGTCTTATTCTGAACTCTGACTGAAGTTTACCTTTAAGTTAAAGAGCCGTGTTGGCTTTAGCGTGGGTGGAAAGAAAGCCTTTAATGAGCGTGCTACATGGCGAGGACGCTGCTTTCAACATTGTGAGAGTTGCAGTTACAAGCACGGACCGCGACGTGGGAAAGCCTCCAATGATTCTGTGAGGCCGTCATGCGCCTTAAGAAGAGGACCAGGTCTATCCCGCAGCCACACAGACCGCGGGGGAACAGGGGTTCATTCGTCCAAAAGAAGGAATGCGTTGGCATCCTTGCAAGCACTGTACCAGCGCAACAACTCACAGCGAAATGGCCGATGTGTGTAAAGCCGCTTTGCCAAGGTCTATTCCACATCATTCTTGGCCATAGGAGGCTGTGATTTCTATGGCTGATCGTGTGGCATGATGCGGACAATGCTACGCTGTTATCGTGTTCTGCCTCGAGCAATTGCTGATGGCGCCGTGGGGTTATAATTATGTACAGTAGCGAGTCCCACATAAAATTTCACCGCAAGGCAGTGTCTAAAGTCAAAAAATATTTATTCATATAGGTAACACAATGTACACTTATAAACGTCAAACAAGAAATATACATTAAATTCTTCTAAATTTACATTTACTGCCAGTTCTCAGATCAAGGGCGTAGAACGGAAGAGAAGAACTGGCAATAAACTCTCCGACACTCTTTTTAATCGCCAAGTTTATTGTTTTACACAACGTTTGTAAGGAGCTGCAACCATTACACCATGTTCCGCATGACATCCTTAGTAATAAATAATTATAAAATAAATTAAAAACAAAGATTTGTCCTCTATCAGCTGGAGGTATGGGGAAATAGGAGCTCCCACTTACATTTTCGCGGGTCACCATTATCCCTGAGGTTGTAGGTTACCCTAGCTGTGCACCAATGGCCTCTAAATAGTTATAGATTTTTGTCTATATGCGTATTTAACACACGCTCTGTTATAGGAGACACGGAATTTTACTTAAAAATAAAAAAAAGGGTCCGTGTACTTATGTACGCACGTAAGAAGTTATACTTCTTTGGCAATATTAAAAATAGTTTGGCTTTGTTCCACCTCCAGTTTTTGATGTTTCACAGCGATAAGATGAAAACTCTTTTTTTGTATTCAATTTAGTGCAGTTACACTGATTCATCAATTGTTTTTTGTCTCTTTTCCTTATATTTGCTAGATAAAATCAGAAAAATTACATGTTTTGATTAAACAATGTGGTTAATTTTTTAATCAAAACATTACTCGATAATAATAATAATACATACGGATAGTTAACCTCAATTGTATTGAAGCACTTAGGAAGGTTGATGAGCACAGTTTTTTCACAAATATTAATTAGTATTTAGGTTTAAATATTCAATTTAAATCACTTCTGATTATAATTCAAAAAGCATCGCTAAATTTCTTTGAAAAAATAATTAAAACTCCTTTATTTGTTTAAAAGGTAAATGACAAATGTCATTATGGTCATTCAAAATTGTTGGCATACGAACTTCACGCATATTCTATTTCTTTTTACTTGTAGATTGTCTTATTCCTATCTCGCTCGCGCACGCTATAATCACACTCCTAATTTTGTGTCACGGGTGCGCGCGCATCGTAAAATTTCACTCTCATAAATTTTTCATAACGCGCCTAAAGAAGTATAACTTCAAAAATTATAATTTGATATGTAAAATTTATTGAATACAAAAATGATTTTAGAAGATGAAACAGCTAACAAAAAATATTTATATTAACAAAAAATATACCGTCAATATATCCAAAGATGAAACACATAATATATACCTACAAAAAGATTACATTTACAAAAGTGAAAAACACAATAAAAATTATTCAATACATTTAACCAAGTAATTCCTAATTTGGCTGTGTGATGGTGTACAAGTGAGAGTATGTAGGTACATGCTCAGCACACCCCACATGGTGATTAATAACGAAAAATTTACTTACCACAAAAAATAATAGTTGTTTGTAAAAATTATTTTTTGCGAAAATTACATTTTTAAACTTGCATCCAAGTAATTTTTTTCTAATGTAGAAATTAAATAATATTTACATTTATATTCAAGAACGTGACTCGAATATATTATATGTATTCTTGTTTATTCCATATTATACATCTCGTATATTTAGGTTAACTGTCAACATTCAAATCAGTTCAGTTGTCTTTGATATACATATTTTATTAATAAAAGAAATTGAAAAATGTTGCGTAGTATAATTCATACCACTATCAATGTATATATATATATATATAGTTATATCAATCCGTCAATTGTTGATCATGCGTGCTATATCGCGAGCACTTTGTTGATCCGGGTGGTTTTTGTTGATCCAATATAATATTTTTCATACAAATGTGGTTCCGACCGGATCAACGATTTACTCCGTTGAAGTTTAGGAAACGCAACCGAAATGTTGATCCAATATACAAATCCACTCCGATAGTAGTTGATCCGATTCAAATGGGCCAATCAGAAGTCAGCAAGTCCTCCTACTGGACATACCTAAGGTATATGGATGGTTTAATTCCTATAATTTATTGCAAGACCACCTAATCAGTAACTTTTCTTTATTTATTCAGTTTTTATGTTTATAGGTATGATATATATATATATATATATATATGGTAAGGAAATTTGTTAACGACACGCGCTTGTCGCTTACCCGATGTTAAGCTTCGTGGCCAGCTGCATGCATGCCAGCAGCTCAATGTCATACAGAGTATGTGATATTGTATTGCACTCAGTAACCCTGAGATATAAGATCTAGAGTCTCGAAGCCCTGTTATTACTCCGCAAATAATGCCCTTCATCCCGGGACACCGTAGCGTTATTTAGCTACCGCTTGGCCGTTGATTAACTGACAAAGATCTGGCCTTTCCTCAGACTGGCCTTCGCAAGAGTCCTACCAATACTCGATATAGTCTTATATAAGGACAATTTCTAATTGTTATTATAATGTTTAAGTGGCATGTTTACATATATTAATTAAAGTGATAATTTAGAAAGGCAAAAAATTATCTTATCGCATCATATCAAAGTTGAGTTTGGATGACATTTAGAAAAATCATTTGTTATCAATCATATTTTTTTTATTATATAACATCTTTAATACGTTAGACATTACTAACATTTACAAAATAATTTTGAAAATAAAACAACATAAGTAACATTTCGTTTATAGGTACTTAATCGACAATTCTAACATTTATAACAAACATTATAATTAGCCAGATAATAAGAAAATTTATATGTTCTCAATATTTTTATGAATAATATAACTTAAAAAACATCTTCAAATATTTATAATCAGTCAGTCAAAGATTATAATTATTAACAGGTAGAAAAAAATCACATACCAAATATTCTTACTACCCATTCAATAGTATATAGTCAGGTACTATCACTAAACCACTAACATTAAGGAGACATTACATGTGCCCTTGTTATGAGATCTATTATTATACATAATATATTAATTATAATAATTACTATTAATATTATGAGGAACTTGTTGTATCACACAGAATCTTCATTAAAATATATTTACTTTTTTTTATAAATATTGTTAACATACGTGTTAAGTTGCATCCAAGTCCTATTTTGAAGAATAGGTTCTTTATTTAAAACTTCCATACATTTGTTTTTGCCTAGATTTATCTTTTTATTTATGTATGATTGGAAATATTTTTTGACTAATTGTACCTCTTCATCCGACCACTTTCTATGACTGTTTCTTTTTCGTTTCTGAATTGGATTATCACTATCACTATCGCTTAAACTTGGGCATTTTATTTTTGTCTTTCTGTTATTTGGTTTAATATTGATATTTTTATTTTTAGAATCTTTATGATATATATTATTTTCTTTGGCTCGTCTAGTTTTACTTCGTTTCTGAATCTGTTTATCATCATCAACATCGCTTTCACTTGTACTACTTGACCATTTTCTTTTCGTGTTGCTTCTGTTTGGCTTAATTTTGGGGTCTTTATTTTTAGGATCTTGGTTGTAATGATTGTCTTGTTTTTTATCGTTTACTTCATTATAGTCTCCAATTTCTATATCGTCCATGTTCTTATCGACTATAGTTTCTGGTGTTTCGATAGATATTTTGGGGTTTGTAAGTAAGATGTTAGATTGGTCGCTTTCTATTGCCAAATTTTTTGAAGATGGCGTCTCTTCCTCAAAGTTTTTAGTTTCTTGGTATGATTGAGACCTAATCGTTTCTATTATGTTACTCTTCTTCTCCATTAATGTATTTTGATATTAAAATAAAATAAAATAAAATAAAATATGTTTATTATGGAACATAAGATACATGTATCACTTATTCCACGTCATTAAATTTGAAGGCATCCCTACTCATCGGCAAAGAAGACAGAGGGTGTAGGCCGAGAGAAAAAGCCGGCGTAAAAAACTCTCGGTACTCTTTTAAAACAGCAAATCATCAAACAACACTTATTTAAAACAAATATCGCAAATTGATTAGAAGTAGCCTGTCTAGCACTAGTCCCAGGCCCTTTTATCAACTAGATAATCGTTGACTTTATAGTAAGCCTTTTTACACAGCTTTTCTTTAATACATTTCTTAAATTTATTGAAAGGCAGTGATAAAAGAGCCTCTGGGATTTTATTAAAGAAGAGTATCCCTTTCCCCAAAAAAAGAATTACTAACTTTAGATAGTCTAGTACGGGGAAATTGCAGCCTGCGTTTGTTCCGTGTATTAACATTGTGCGTATGTTCTATTCTAGTAAACTTATCACTATTTTTGTATACATACATAATATTTTCATAAATATATTGCGAGGGAAAGGTAAGTATATTAATTTCCTTGAATTTATCTCTAAGAGATTCCCTACATTTTAAATTATAGATTGCACGAATAGCCCTCTTCTGCAGGATGAAAATAGTTTCGACATCAGCAGCATGACCCCATAATAATAAGCCATAAGTCATTAAGCTATGAAAGTAACTAAAATAAACAAGTCTAGCTGTATCGACATCAGTTAGTGAGCGAATTTTTTTAACCGCGTAGGCTGCAGAACTAAGTCTCTTCGCCAATCCGTTAATATGAGGGGACCACTGAAGTTTTGAATCCATGGTGATTCCGAGAAATACAGTTGTATCATCCAGATTCAATTCCTCACCGTTTATAATTGGTCTAGTATCCATAACCCTTGCATTTTTTGCACAAAATTTAATGCATTTTGTCTTTTTTGCATTAAGTAGAAGGTTATTCATACTAAACCAATGGACAATCGAAGACAGAGCATTGTTCACATCGTCAAAATTTGTTATTTGTCGTTTGATTTTAAAAATCAAGGACGTGTCATCAGCAAACAAAACTATCTGATGTTTTCTCTCTACCATGAAAGGTAGATCATTTATATAAACAAGAAAGAGGAAAGGGCCAAGAATTGAGCCCTGTGGTACCCCATATCTACTGCCGACCCAGAGGACCTCTTACCATTCACTT